AGGAAGGATATTCCTGAGACAGGGTCCAGATCCAAGGCTCACAATCTAAAAGTATGGCCTGTGGAATTCTATGCTACAGAAAGAAGTTGAGACCAAATCATTTGATTTGATTTGATTTAGTTATTGTCACGTGTATTTTGTTACAAAAAAACGGAAAAAAGTGTTCTAAAGTGTCACCACTCTCCGCCACCATCTTAAAACACAGAAAACAAAGGCAGAAAAATTAAAAAAATATAGAAAACTGTCGAAATTTACAGTCCTTCTTGTTAAGTGCTGCGCCACAGATTGTGGGTCTGGTGCCCAGACATGAGTCCCTTCGCCAAGCCGCTATCACTAGAATGAAAGTCACCACTCTTCAGCGCCGTCTTACCTCCACCAGACACCCTCGCCACTACAAGTCCTTGCTGGACCTTGCCAATGCACCAGTCCAAACTCAACTCCAACCGCCACCATAAGTCCACTTTGGGCCCAAAGCGACACTGCTGATGCTGCCAGGTCTCATACTGCACCCAGACTCACCTCCACCACTGCCTCCATGAATCTGGGCTGGGCGCAGACTCCACCGGGAACCCAAGCTCCCCTCCACTGCAGCAGCCATGAGTCAGTGCTAGAACCTCCTCATTGATGCAGAAGCTGCAGCACACCCAAACTTACCTCCGACACCATTGCCATGAGCCCGCACCGGGCCGACTTGCTGCTCTTCACTAAGAGGTAAGTCAAATAAGATAAAAACAAAACAAAAGAGAATAAAGAAAAGAAGCGAAAAGAAAAGTGGATGAAGCGGTCTAGCCCTGGACTCAGAAGCCCTACTCCATTACCACAGCAGTATTTATTGCCCCTAATTGCCCAGAGGGCAGTTAACAGTTAACCACATCGGCTGTGGGTCTGGAGTCTCAAGAAGTCCAGATCAGGTAAGGATGGCAGTTTCTATCCCTAAAGAACACCAGTGATCCAGGTGGGTTTTTCCAACAATTTGCAATAGGTTCATGGTTATCATTAGACTCTCAATTCCAGATTATTTACTGAATTCAACTTTCACCATCTGCCATGGCAGGTTTTTAGTCTGGGTCCCCAGAACATGAGCTCAGTTTCTGGATCAATAATCTAGTGATGATACCTCTAGGCCATTGCCTCCCTTGGGGAAAATATGAATAAGTGATTATGGCCTGGGGCAGGAATGAAAAGGGATGGTGTGAGGCCCATGTCCTACATAAACAGAAGCAGCAACTGCATGCTACTCAGAGTAGGAGGCAGAAAAGGAGTCAAACCTTTGGATCTTAATGAATGATTGGTTCCACTAGTGAACAAATGGGAACAAGGAGATGGAGATGAAGAATTCTCAAGGCCCTCTCAGAATATCAGAAACTCCATGTATGAAGCAACAGCAGAAAGACCTACTGCAGCTGGTATTGGCCACAGGAGTGCTCTGGGGAATGATTCCTGATCCTCCACATTCAACAAAAGAGAAAGTTCTTTAGTGGTCCCAGCAGCATCTTTGAAAGTCACTATCTATGCCAGCATTGACCTAAAGAAGTATAAGTTAAAGCTGGTAATGATACAAGCACCAATTACTTGATCAGAATTTTCAGGAGTGTCTGAAAAAAGACATAAGTCCATATTTTGTGATCATGTTTGATAAAAGAAAAATTTCCAGCACCCACGAGGGATCCCATAGGTAGTAAGAACCAATAAGTCAGTGATCATGTGGCCAAAGCAGATTATGTGCCTGACATTGTTCCCAGAAACTGGCATTTACTGCAACTATTCTGCAGCCTCAAAATAGGCAGACAACATGCAAATATCAAGTCTGGTGTCCCCAAATAACTCCTACCGAATATAACTCACAACATATGTCAAGATGTTGGATGAGACACAACTTATAAACTGAGTTTGATATCCAAGATCAAGAGAAACCTGGAAAACTGCCTCAATTAATAGGGACTGCCAGCTCACTGAAATTATTCAGTTAAAGACAATGTCCAATTTCAAAGAAGCCTTGGGCCTCCAGCTTCTGGTGAATGTTATGAGTGAGTTGACCACTTCAATAAAGAAAACAAAATGGATTTTTTCCCCTATTCCTACTTTCAACAACAACACGTGCATACACTTCAGTGCACTACACTACCCACAATACATATGAATATATACAAAACCTATCACACACTGAAGAAGATGGCACTAATATGAAATGGAAATTGGTAGCCAATTTATCATTGCACACAATCTTCTATTTGTTCTCATTCTAGACAGATTGGAGATCTCTAAAATTTCATTAGTTACAATGACCTCCTTTAAACTAAAATTGAGAGTCTCGACAAATGTTGGATGTGCACCTTTACCAAAATGTTTGAATATTTGCAAACTAGCAGATGAAAGATTAAACTTGACTATAATTATTACAAGCATTGTTTCAGTTGTCATTTCACAACACAAAAATGTGCTTTGGAAATAGCATTAGTAAATCAGACTACAGGCTGAAATTGGAGACTCAGGAATTGTTTCAACTTTCTTTTGGAAATTGTATTCCTCATAACATGGACTCATTTTGAACAGCTGTGCCAGGACAATTATTCTGTGTCTAAAAGTCTAATATGGCTTTGGCCTGCAGCTGTGCATCCACACAACCTTTCATGCACAATCGAATATTCCTAGGATATGAACAGGTATTTCACTTCTGTTTTGAAAATGTGCAAAAGCTAAACAACATCACGAATAATTCAAACCCAGTCTTCTTGACTTGAACATTTTAACAAATATGCAGATTTAGATATTCAGCTTGGTTTGCTGTTTTCCACTAGTAATAAAACAGCTGGAGCCACATCTGCATCGCACTGTAGTAGGATGAGCACATGGGTCAAGCAACAGTTGCCCCACCAAAGGTTATACACTTTGATGTGGTTTCACTGAGTAACAGACACTCTGCTGTTATCATTTTGCTTGCTGCAGTCTGCATCCGCTCTGTAAAGCTACAATAAAGTCACCATCTGCTGCCTCATCAATGCCAGGAAAAGCATTGGGAATAACGCCAGAGCATGTCTTCCATAAAGGGACAGTTGGAATCTTTCGCTTTTCTGGTTTGTTAAGTGTCATTGACAAATGAGCATTTCATTATTTTTTAATAGAACATTATTTTCCATTGTGTTTTTATGTATTCTGATGGTATGGCATCCCTTGTGAAGAACTGATAGTTAATGTTGGATCTGGTTTGGGAACAAACACCAGGCAAACATGAAAGAAACTAGATCAAAGGACTTACCTGTTTCCCTTTAAAAGTCAAATCAAACCCAACCAATTCTTTCATCCCTAAAAAAAGGTTTGTTATCTTGTAATCAAGTTCTTTCTTCAGCTGTGAAGTCTGGTATATAGGCTACATCTTCATTTTTTTTAAAAATCAGACATAATCTTGGACATTAATTTGAATTCTAGACTTCTTTTTGAAACCATGACAGCAATTCAAATACCAAGTCATGATTATTCCAAACTTTAAATCAATGTCATCCAGTTGGCCGAGGCACATTAGAAAGGTGTTTGTTCAAGTCCCATTGCCAACTTGGGAACAGAACTAGGCTGACAGTGTTGTCAGGGCCATTGTTTTTGAACGATATTTTAATCGGAAGCCCTAATGGGCAATTGTAAATATCTCATGAAACAATAAAATAAAGACTTGGATGTGATCTCCTTGTGTCTTGTCAAGAGCCTTCCTTCAATCATCAAAATCAGATTGGCTGGTTTTTATACCTCTGATGCTCATGAGATCTTTTTGTGTGCAGACTGGCTGCTGGTTTCATCTCTATGTTCCCATTCACTCTGCATATCCATCACTTATCTGAGTGATAAAAAAATCTGCATATCCCAATCTAAATGGACACATCCACAACCCCCTCAGGTTCAGAACTTCACAAAGATTCACGAGCCTTTGAAGTGAAGAAATGTCTTCTCATCAAAGTCCTATCACCCTTATTCTAGATTCCTCAGCTAAGCAAAACAACCTCTCAGTGTCTACTAATGTCAAGCTCCTTCGTAACTTTGAATGTTTCAGTGAGATCACCTCTCAGTTTACTCAGCCCCAAAGAAACAGACCCAATTTACTCACCCTCTCAACATAAAACAGCCCCCTTATCCTAAGGACAAATTTAATGAACCTTCAAATGCAAGTATTTTCTTCATTAAGTGAGGAGAGCATACAATATTCTAGCTGTGGTCCCACCAAAGCTCCATAAAATTATAGCAAGACTTTTTATTTTATTCCTGATATCCAACCCCCTTGCAATAAAGGTCAACAGCCATTTTCTCTCATAATTGTTTGATTTCCCTGCATGATAACCTTTTCTGTACCTTGCATTAGGATAGCCAATTTTTTCTCTGAACATTAATATTTACAAGTATTCTGAAATCTCCCTCAGAATACCCATGAACAAATTTCTGAAAAGTCTTCCTGGTAGGGAACTTCCCCGTTGGAGTGCAAAGTTCAAAAGGGATGACAACAATAATAATAATCTTAACGCAGTCCCCAAGTATTTTTTGTTGACAATTATACTTGCTCAAAATTGGACTTGGATTATTTTTTTAAAAAAATCAATTAATACAAAAACAGTCCTTCCAAAATATATCCACTAAGAGCAGATTGCAGTACATAAGAGGTCAGAGTTAACACATTATGTGTAAATTCTAAATTTTGCATCCACTTAGTCAAATATTAATAAGATTTCTACCAGAAAGGTTTGTCTTAGATTGATTACATTCCAATCTGAACTCTGAAGTTTTTTTTGCGGATAAAGAAACAATACTTGTAAATTTTGCTTGACATTTCTTTCTGTGAGTTGAATACCTTCAAGTAATTGTATCCTTAACAGCACCAAGAGATTAGCTTTCAAATAGAAGTATCTGTTCTCATATTTCCTTATCTATGTTCATTTCAAAGCATCTTTAACACAGTCAAACATTGCTCATTGAATTGACTGATTGTCTGTCTGCAGACATCAAAGATTACTTGTCCTTACCTCTCTCACACTGCGGACCAGTAAACCCATACACACAGGCACAACGGTTTGGACCGATACAACGACCACCATTCTGGCAACCATTTTCACAGACAGCTGTGGCACAAAAATAAATAACAATGCTTTCACAAATGTTTTTCTGAACACAGGCAGAGAACACAGACTGACCAATAAAATGCTTAGGCAACGCAAGGGAATATTTAGGAAAATGCCTCAATGGTTTCCACAGATGTCCACCTGCAATTAATTTCATTGAAAACTCTTCACAGAAATTGTCACACTGAAGTCAATTTCCTTAGAATACTATTTTATTGAAGAGCCATACTGTGCAATGTGTGGTATAAAAGGATAAATGAACCTCTACCTTAATAGACCCACTAAAAATGTAACCTTGCTAACTAACAAGACTCTTGTATGTAGTTTAAGGAATATTTGTCAAGGTAAGTACAGTTTAATCAGTTTTGAGCCAGTATAAAACCACAGCCCAAGTGTTGCAAAGAGGACATATATTTTCCAGTTTTCAGTTCTAAGAAAGCGTAAGATGAAACTTTCTAACAGGAACTTCTACCAGCCGTATGCCAGTACATTCTTTACATATCTCTACATTTTTTTAACAGTGAATGTCTGACTCAGCCATCCATGTCCCACTATAAACACACTTTCTAGCAAGTAAGCACAGAATGATATTGGCAGTGGGTAAGACAAAATCTGCAGAGAAAATAATACCACTCTCCTGACTGGAGAACTCTTCATGGACATGAACTTTATGGGTATGGGTAGTAGGAAAGCAGATGGCAGAAAAATTGTTTCAGCAACTATTTTTCCTACAAATTGAGGAAAGCCTTCACTTCAATTTATTGATATACTAACAAAAAAAACAAAAAGAAGCCTTTTAATTAAAAATGCTTCTGCTGAAAGTAGTGGTCTAGATTTTCCAGTTGGCATCAATGCTAAATTCATTGCCTTTGCCTGCAAATTAATTTTCCAACCAGATGGTATTACCCATTTTCATCCATGTCTTCCAATCCTAGCTCAAGAAGAAAGGGGCAGTGCAGACATTTCAGGGTAGATATTTTCAAATAAACCTTTTCAGAGATATTACAACACAGCTCTGGAGAAGGTGGGATTTGAACGAGCAAGTGTAGGAGTATTCATGAAGAGGGAGAATGTACTCTTTAATGGCAGCAATTGCCATATTCAGTTAAAACTCTTAATTTTTTTTAATGAATGGCCAAGTGAGTGCGTGAGAATGGGAGGTGGGTGACTGGATGTGGTGGCTGTGTGGTTAGCCAGGTTGTGTGTGTTGTCAGGTGGTCAGGAGGTTAATGAAGTGTGGTCTGGAAGTAGTTGAGTTGTTCAGGTAGGTTGAGTCTGGGAGGTAACTGGGTTAGGCCGAGAGACTGTGAGATCTGTTCGGGACGTTGTTCAATCTGGGCAGGAAGTTGTTGGATCTGGTCAGCAGGCAGTTTTGATCTGGTCAGGACTCTGTCGGACCTGGTCTCAGAGCAGTTTGGATGGTCAGGGACAATCAGGTGGCCAGAGGGTAATTGGGTCTGGTCAGGGCAGTAATTCGGGAAATCAGGGAGCAGTCAAGTGCTGAGGGGATAGTCAGATCGCTCAGGGATCAGGGGAAAGTTGGCTGTGGATAGGGAAGTGGCCAAGTCTGGACAGGAAGTTAGGTGGGGGGTGTGGTCCCGTCTAGTTAGTGAATCATCAAATGGTTCGGGGGGAGTTGGTTTGAGCATAGTCAAATGGACAGGATGGTCAGCGTATAACCTAATGGTCAGGGAAAATAATCAGGTCTGATCCAAGGAGTAGATGGGTAATCAGGGTTTGGTGGCGGGGAGGTAGATAGGTCTGATCAGGATAGTCACATAGATGGGGGCTTATAGGGGAGGAATTGCTTGTGATGCTCAGCTGAGTTACACAGCCAACTGAACCTGTCTAAGATTGCCTGGGTAAGCATCCTGGAAGTATGCATACAGCTGACCAAAGTCTCAGCCTGAGCTCAGGGTCAGAGACTTTCACACAGGGTCTGGGACTGCAGGAATCAGCCCATTGGAAGGTGAAACATCGTCGAGAGGTTTCATCTACATCCAGGACTTCCACACAATCCAGATGGACATCACCTATATACATTTCATCTCCAGCAATCTGGAAAAGGGGAGATCAAAGCTGGTATCTTTAGTGATTCGACTGTCATTTCAAGGAGCTTGTATGGTATCAGAAATAAGATGACAAAAGAATGTCAGGAATTAAAAATCTACTTAAAGTATTGCTAAGCTTAATTTTATTAACTGTCAGCAATGAAAGTAAACTCAATCCAATACAAACTGCCATCTCAAGGAAAGAACTGGAGGATACTAGATGGAAAATGAACATCTGTGATGATTCTAATTTAAAAACTGTAATGTTAAAATGTATTGCTCTGTCTCTTCTTGAAAAAGTCCTAAGCACCTAAACAGTGACATTAGTGTGAAGAGATCATTAGTTTGTTGTTTTGTATGAAATTAGGAAAATCTAGGGAACTTATTTGGTGAAAGGAACTGAACAGCACAAATGGAATAAAGTTCAAGACAAGATACAGGCTTTTTGTACACACAGGAGTAGAGTTTGACTGGGATCTCCAAATGTTGATATTCAAAAGACAGAAGTATAGATTGAAGAATTTGTGCTTGAAGGTTGTCACACCAGACTCTCACACCCATCACTTACCATTTACTGAAACCTGTGGGAGGGAACCTGCACTAAACAAGAAACTGATTCACAAGCTCTGTGCCTGAATTCCCTGTAAGCGCTTCGAACAGACAAAACTTTGTCAAGACGACCAATTTAAAATATGACCTGTGGTGTTATAAAAAAGGGAAAGATTATCGGTCCTATTAGTCTTTCATTGTTCCCAAAGAAGAAAATATGGTCTTTCGCTGTAGGTTTTATATCAGGAGTCCTGAACCCTAGAAGATTGCAGAAGTTTCTGAGGTCTTCACATTTTTCTACATTTTAAAATCATACGTTTGTAACAAAAAGTGACTAGAGGAATGCTTACCATTCAATTTATTGAGAAACTTTTTTTATCACATATATAAAAGAGCTAATGACATCAAAAATGCGTCTGCAGATTTAAAATGATTAAAGTCAATTGTGGAATTTAATGTCAAAATGTCCTTCAGACAAGGTTTCTGTGGCACACTGCAATCTTGTTGAACTGTGATTTATATCACATATCTATCAGTAAAATCTACTTACGTTGTCCACAGTGAGTTCCTGTGTATCCTTTCTGGCACTGGCAGTGATCTTCAGCACAACTCCCTCCATTCATACATCTGATATTGCATTGTTGGACTAGAAAGGATATTAGTTTATCATTAATCTCCCACACATACCACTGTAAAAATGATGGCTACAATCACATTATGATCTATAGACATTGATCATGATTCTTTTAATGGGGATTCTAGGTCAAAGAAAGATCAGATTGATTTTCTTATAATACAGATGAAGCCACTACATTTTCTTGCATATAAGTGAATAATAACAAAAGATTTAATCATTAATGCATTGATTTGATACAATAACTTTAGATAAAATACTGCATTTTATATTGTGAGTTGCTGACATACATAACCTAAACTATTACTCGACTCTGACAGCACTACACAAAGTTAGCAACAATTCTAGGTTAATAAAAGAACATGTTTAGGAACCTACGAGATTTTGTTCCACAACTAGGTGAGATTTGTCCATTGGAGCAAGTGCACATGTTGGGACGTGAACAGAATCCATCACCACAGGTGTTCCGACAGATAGCTACAAGTGAGAAACAAAAGACAATTACTATATGAGGGAAATATTATGTTCAGAGGAGTGTTTGCTTCATCTAACCATATAGTGGCTTGGGATTTCTGGTAGGAGTACTGACAAGACTATTAATAACTGCGACAATTAAGGAGTGCATAGGAACAGGAGGAGGCCATTCAGCCCCTCCAGCCTGTTCTGCCATTCAGTGAGACCATGGCTGATCTGTAACCTGCCTTTGGTCCATATCCTATAATACCTTTGTTTAACAAGAAATGATCAAATTCAGATTTAATGTTAATAACTGATCAAGTGTATACTGATGTTTATGGAAGCGAGTTCCAAACCTCTAGCACCCTTTGTGAATAGAAGTGCTTCCTGAAATCTCTCTTGTACACTCTGGCTCTAATTCTCAGACTACGCGCCCTAGTTCCAGAAGTAAATTGGAAAGCAATGCTTGCCCTCTGGCCGTACACTGTTACATATAGAAATCAAAATGTTTCTGTCAAAGTTACCCTGTTCCTGAAAAACAGTGCTACACCAGTGTCCTGCAGAAAGTTGTGGTATACAAATAGTTGGAAAGGTATGATGTTGTAGTCCTTATTAACTGTATCCAATAGGCACACCAAATTATGTTATGGCTTGTCCAAACAAATCTAAATGATTTTTCCATCAAATGTTTCTGACAAACAACATCTTTGGAACTAAAAATTAACTTTTATCCCACAGTTTCTCATTCTTTCAGATTTCAATTGTTTGAATTCATGAAAAATTAAACAATTTAAATGAAATATGACGAATCCTAAGCAGGACATACAGCATCTGTGGAGACAGATTAAACCTCATAGACCTGAACTGTTAACCCAATCTCTTCCTCCACAGGTGCTGTCAGACTAACTGCACACTTACAGCATTTTGTATCTTTATTTCAGACTTCCAGCACCTTCAGTACTTAGCTTTTATAAATAAGATGTGTTTTTTACTTTATCTTTGTCTCTTTTAATGCTGGCACGGTGGCTCAGTGGTTAGCACTGCTGCCTCACAGCTCCAGGGACCTGAGTACAATTCCAGCTTTCAGTGACTCTCTGCATGGGTTTTGTCTGGGTGCTCTAGTTCCTCCCACAGTCAAAAAAATTTGCAGATTAGGTGGACTGGCCATGCTAAATTGCTCAGTGAGTCCAGGGACATAGAGGCTAGGTGAATTAGCTATAGGAAATGCAGGGTTACAGGGATGGGGTGGGTCTGGGTGGGATGCTCTTTGGAGGGTTAGTGTGGACACAATGGGCTGAATGGTCTGTTTCCACATTGTAGGGATTTTATGATTTCTTGTCTTCTATTTCACTTTCTGCACAAAATTTGACGTTAACTTCAGTATTCTACGTTACTCTTCCTGGTTTAGAACCTGTGTAAGGATTCTTCATTCTGATCAGATAATAAGACACATTGGGCGATCTTACCATATTTTGGTGAAGTGTTGTTTTGGTCATTTTCATGGAGAGCTTCTCTCTGCAAGCAGCTTTTTCTCACATGATTGTCCCTAACTACCTTCCACAAACCCAAAGGAGCCCCTCTCTTCCAATGGAAACCCAATTCTCCCACTCACCATAACCGCAACTTCCAATGCCAAATCCCACAGCAAGTTTAGGGGTAAGCTTTAATTTGATGAATATTGGCATGTTTATTTGGCATTGAACAAAAAATCTGGGCCATTATCAATTAAAAATCTTGGAACATTTTACTGAATCAATGCTGAATTTATCAATGGTTTTTAAATTCTTAAGTACATTTGTGATAAAAGGCCACATAGCACCTCCCCTCACAAGCGCAAGTGATCAAACACCTGTGCTTTTACTTTCTCCTTCCCAACCATACAAAGTCCCAAATAATCTCTGCAGTTGGGGTAGGAAGTTACCTATAATTCCTTCAATTTAATAGAAAGTAGTCATTGTTCATAGTACGGTCTCCTCTACATTATCTGGATCAAATACAGATTGAGTGATCACCCTGCCCTGTTCAGCCCACAAATGCACACCTAAACTGGCCTTAGCCTAAGCCTGTCACTCCAATTTGTTTCTTCATTCCCAGCTAATCTCTCTACCCTTAGCCTGCTACTCGTTGCTAATGATGCCCAACAGAAGCATGAGGAAGAGCAGTTTGCTTTTCAATTAGACAATTTCAAGCTTTCCAAATGAATCATAGAGTTCAATAACTTATATTTACTTTTACCACTTTATCCGAGACCAGCAGCTGGTAATGATTCTACCATTGTCACTTACAGCTCATCTAAGATTATTGTATTTTTTTCTTGTCTCATTGCTGCCCCATTTCTCCTGAGCACATCACTCATTTTGTCATTCAATCTCTCCTTTGTCCCACCCAATCACAGATATTGCCCTTTGTGTTGCCTTCTCCTCCCTAGCCCCTACCTCGGAACTTGCTGAAAGATGATTGCAACTCAGTTCTGATGGAAGGTCATTGACCTGAAGTATTATCCAGAATGTACAGGTTCCTTCACTTTCACCTCCCCCACTGCCTGAGAAGAGTGTGGGATCACTGCCTCATCGAATGGAGCTGGAGGCAGCAGCGTGGGGCTTGTACCTCCATCTCGTTATGTCTGGGTTGGCAAAGCTTGTGGGAGACTAATTGAGCCTCTTCAGTGAGCAACTAATGCAGTTAATATGACGTTTTGTTTCTTTATGGGTCCCATATTATGTGAAACATCAGTGTGGACTTGTTAACCTTTCGTGCACTAAACAATACAAATGCATCTGCTTCCCTGTGTCAACTTGTATTCAGATTTCTGCCCCTCGGGCTGTGAAAGGCCAGACCTGAGGGCAGCTGGTGACTCTGCGGCAATCCCAACTGCACCAGAACTTACCCATGAGCCCGGCGAGGAGGTCCACAAAAATCAGGAATGGAGCCTGGACCCAACTAAGTCCCAGGCTTAGGAAAGGAGTGAAGGGGGTAGAGTGACGGCCTTGGAAGCCAGGTCGGAAGTGACAAAGTGGAAGACAAACTCTTGGGAAGGGATCCTGTTGCATACAGGGTAGTTTTCCCCTTCCAGTGCAATTCCACAATGCCCCCCCATGCCCACTGCAGTCTACCAGCAAATGACACACCCCTCTCTTTCCTGCACTTAAACCAATTGGGTTAAGGAAAGGTCCACCAAATCCTGCCTACCCACACCAACTACATTGAGGCATAGATAGCATAATATTCAGATCAATTGGCTTCTTTACAACCTCGATAACCCATTAAATATGTTTGTAATTCGAGCAACCTACTGTTTTATGCAGACGAGTCCACAAGTGGATAGGAAGTCAATAAGCTAACTATCTGACATATTTTACATGTCATTGCACTCCACAATCCCATTAAAAACACTCATCAGGCGACCTGTACAACCCAGCCCTGAAACTTCAGGGAAGGATGGGAAATAACATGCCTGTGTCTGCTCTCCCTCTCTTCCCCACCACTGCTAAAGTATACAGCCACTGTTCAATCTTCCCGTTCTGCTGTAGGACACAATTCTGTTAACAAAGCTCATACCACTTTGTCAAAATTGGCTCCTGTTCTAACTTCCAATTAATTTTCTTGTCCAGAATATGGTAGCAGAGAATGGTTGCTCAACAGTTGGAAACTAAAGAAAAAGTAACTGCCAGAAAATTAAAATCTGTGTGTTGTGGGTCTTGGCAGAAAGGAAATGTAAATTAAAGTTATCCTCCCAATGTTCTCTCAGTCTGAACCACAGGAACAGTGGAAGAATGAAGTGGATATGTGGCACTGGATGAATTCTTATCAAGAAGAAAATAATGTATAGCCCTTTGCTTGTCTCTTCCGAGGTGCAATCAGAAACACAGTTATCTGCAAGATTGATTCCTGTTGTCACCAGCTGGACAATATTGAGGGCGTGGAAATTCTATCAGAGTGCTTGGATAAAGTCTAGAAGGAAAATGAGGATCAAATACCTATGAGATATGGCTTAGAGCTTGGAAAAATATCATCATTTCATGAAGGAATACATTACGGACTGGACTGAGGATGCATTTCTTCCATTTCAGATTGAGGGTTTTAAAGTGACCAACAAGTCCAGTGTTGGATCCTGACTCCATGCCACTGGTGGGGCAAATGGTGTTTGAAGAGGCCAGCTGGAGGAGGGTGCCTCGGCTTTCTCACATGCTTTCTACTGTTTGCTTTGGCTTCCAACGAGGCCAATTGGAGACACTCAAAATAGTGGCACTTTTGTGGACGCTTTCTCTCCAGCTTAGGCAATCTTTGCCAAGAAATTCACACAAGTCAGTGGGGATTTTAGTTAAATGTCAGAGGTTGAAACGCTGGTTGACAGAGACAAATGATCTATGTTTCTAGTGGATATCTGTGCATCGCAATGGTGGCAGGGGTGGTCAGGGAGAGGGAGAGAGTGTTGTACAGAGGCAGTAGGAGAGTAGAGGAGCTTATTTTCTGCAGATGTTTAGTCTGTGATCCATTCTCCTCCATGAATGCATTGGCAATGGTTTGGAGCTCAGCCTGTGAACTGTGAGCCTGCATAAGTGTAGTCTGTGTAATGCAGATCACTGACAGAGGTTAGGATCTACCCAGCGTCGATCTGTCCAAAAGGAGATGAGCGGGTTCTACTTTGGGATTTCAATGCTAGAACTGGGAGGAAGCTGATTGAGAAGGATGGTACAGGTAAAGTAACATAGTCTTTGATAAGGAAATGCCTAGACCACAGTCTGGCCAAGCAAACATCTTAGTTTGTCAGAGACTGAAGTACAAAACCTGATGGCATCACCCTGAATTCAAACATTGCTTGGCAGCATCATGTCTGAGTAATGGACAGCAAGGGTGTCCATGTAACCTGTTTGATGACAGGAGCTGATGGTTGCTGAACCAATCATCACCGACTCCACACTGCCACCTCTATCAGCTCACCTTAAAAATGGCAACAGCAGAAATATGGCAGGGGAATTGAGTTTAAGAGCCATGATGTTATGCTGCAGCTCTATAAAGCT